TTCTTTTTTTTTTTTTTTTTTTTTTTTTTTTTTTTTTTTTGGCTTTTTGAGGCAGGGTCTCACTATGTAGTTCAGACTGCCCTCTAACTCACTATGTAGTCCAGGCTGGTCTCCAACTCATAGTGATCCTCCTGCCTCAGCCTCGGGAGTGCTGGGATTACAGGCACCACCATGCCTGGCTAGGACCTTGCACTTTCAAGGCAGGCAGCAGAACCACTGAGCTAAATCCCCAGACCAACCATGTTTATTCTTTAGAATATTTCTATTGATGAATTATTAATTTTAATTTTATGTTTTATTATATTAAACAATGAATACTTAACAAGTGTAAAAATAAAGTATTGATTTTTCTATATTTATTGAGTGTTTATAAAAACTTGTCGTTTTTTTTTTTTTTTTTTTTTTTTTTGTGGTACCAGGGATCAAACTCAAGACCTTGAGCTTGCAAGGCAGGTGAGGTGCCACTGAGCTAAATCCCTGACTCATCAAAATTTTCAGCATCAACTTTTTTAGTGTACAAAGTCTAAAAAATAACAACAGAAATAAATTCCTAAATGAAACTACCAATTGCACTCTACAAAAAAAAAAAATCTTTACCAAAACTATCATACCTAACAGAGTCTTCACACACAACAATAGCATGTTTCATACACATGTATCGCTTTTACTGACAACACACGTCTTTTGCTTTCCTGGTCTTTTTGTAGGACATAGCTAACATCTCACTGGTCTTTCTGTTTTGTCAGGAGGTTCTTATTATATTACCCAGTGTGTAGTTAATAGGAACACAAAATATCCATAAAATAAAGTATTAGATCATTAATATATATTGTACATTTAGAATAAACTTCAAATTTTTCACATCAGCTGTGTACTTGCTTACAAGATCCAAAAAATAACATCAGAAACAAATGCCTAAAGGAACTGCAATGAAAATACCAATAGGACTGTACAACAAAAATAATCTTTGCTTCAACTGTTACACCCAAAGGAGTCTTCACATATGAAAATGGCATTTTCCATACACAAGTATCACTTACACGGATAGCATGTATGTTTTATTTTCCTGTCCTTCTTTGGAGGGCACAGTTGACATCTTTTTTGGTTTTCCTGTTGTCATAGTAGGTCTTTGTGATTCTGCACCTGCCTATTCACCTGTCAGCTCACCAGTGTGTTCCACAATATTTTGGCATAGTTCTCTGGGCAGAAACATTTTGCTTTTCCTCTGCTGTACATGATCTCTTCTGAGTTCCAGTCCTAATCAGTCCTCTAAGAACAATTTTCCATGGTATTTTGCACTTACTATTTTCTTTGTAAATTATCAAACTATGCCGCACATCTGTAGGATTAAATAAAACACAACCATTAGTCAATGCTTTGTGTTTGAAGTGACATCATAGTTGTTGTATAACTCATCAACCACATCCACTCTGCCTTTGCTTTTGTCATACAAAATTTCCATCTTCAGGTCCCTATCAATATTTCCATCATGGTGCAATTTTGTTTGTTTGTTAGCAGCACGTTTTGTTAGCAGGTTTGTTTTTCTTTGCCATATACATGGCCAATCATATCTTTCTGAAATCCAAAGCTTGTGCTATACAATTCTCTGTTTTCAAATTGCAACATTTCATTTAAAATTTCTGCTTTGTTCCTGTGTACAGTTCCTACACTGGTCAACTTGTGCTCCATTAGCAAATATAACATCAATTGGAAACTGATAAACTTATTGTCAAATGTCACATTCCAATGTTTGGGAGATGGGAGCAACATGTCTGTTAACAATATCATTCAGTTTCTTACTACACAAGTAAAGACCTGTGGCTGAGTTCCAGGAAAAATTTCTATATTTAAAGCATGATAAGTCTTTGCATCTACAGGGACATAAATTTTTATGTCATATTTTAAAGGGGGATTGGCATATATTGCTCGAAACTACAGCAAACATGAAATGCTACAAGATATTCATCAATAGTCATGTATTCAGATGGTATATAAATTGTGTGACAGTAACAAATCTCTCAAACAATGAGCTGATGGCAGCCAGTTTATCAGTTCTTTTTCTTTCTTGGCCTATGGTTTTGTTATCAAGCTTCAGATAATTTTGAAGGAAACTAAATCTCAGTGTATTGTCATTCTACAAATCTCAAGCCCAGCCCCATCACTTTTCCATGAGTCTTTTATATTCCTGCAATTACCATGAGAAAGCCCTGATAAGTACAGCAGACCTATGAATGCTTTCAGTTCAGCTAGTGAAGTGTCATAGTAAATATATTTTTGAGTATGGCTATTGATGCATTACAGAATATTTTACTTGTATTTCAGCATTTCTATATTTCACAACATCTGATAGTATTTTGTCTGTTACCAACAATTTCCAATTGAATGACAGTGCTGGCATTCCATCCACTAAGTTTCACCCCTGCCAAGTTCCTCACTATATTTTTGGACCTAGTTCTAACATTGGATCATTCCATTTGCTTGCATGACCATTTTGACTTGTACAATATGTACTTATATTGCTATTTTCTTCATCATCTGAATCAAGGACGTCTGAATTCCCTGTGCCTGTGTTGGTCAACTTTTGTTCCATTTCACTGTCACAGGAACTTTGCTTCACATGACCAATGTAAGCCATTTTCATCTTCATCATCCATACATGAGTAATCTGATAATTCATTTTTTACTTCCTCCATAACTTCCAAATCTGATTTTTCAGTGCCATTGTACTGAATTGGGCTATTTCTACCATAAAAAAAATTTTTTAAAGTTAAAAAAAATCCTAAACCCATAGAAATTTGGCAATGAACATTTCATGAGTAAAATTCACCTATTGCTGCTTTGGAGCTCCTATAAATACTTTATCATTCATCTGCTGAGAGGGTGAATGCTCAGATGGGTCTTTTTCTTTCCCTGGAGGCAGCTACTGAGTCATGCCCACATTCCATTATGGTAAAATACACATTTACATAATAGAAGAATAGTATGGGTGTATTTTATCCCCTGTGATGCTCAGGTAAATGTATGCAAACTTGTTAGATGGAGTATTATGTGGGTAAAAATACTGGTTTGACACTTCTGCATATGTGCACACACATTGAGTTCATTGTACCAAGAGGATAAACACAAAGATTGCTTCCTGTATCCCCCAGAAACAACTACTGAGATGCACAGCCAGCTGCTATTATGCTAAAGTACAAATTTACAGTAGAAAAGTATGGGGTGAGTTGCTGTAACCCAATGTTATGGGTAAAGAAGAGGTAATTGGGGTTAGGACATAGAACTTCAGAGTGAAGTTTCCTCAGAGTACTTTTTGAGCCTAAAACAAATCACCTACCTGTCTCAGCTAGGCTGGAAAAGTAGAGGAGGAAAAAAAAGTCTTATCTAGACTCAGTTGTCTGTAATCTTAGCCCAATCCTCAGTTTCAGGATTGTCAGTAAGCTGGGAATTTAAAACTTTGGTCAGTTTATGATCAGAAATGAACCCAATTACTATAACTTCTGTGCAAGCAAAACTCACTGGCCTAGATGGTGCAGATATCCAGAGATTGAAGGAGAAGGTCAGATTCTCTCTGCCAGAAGAGCTCTGATGTTCTGCAAATGTGTTCTGTGGTGTCAGGTCCTGAACCATGCCCTCCCTTCACCTCCAACTTGTCTCTGACACACAGTTGGTGTCTTTGTTACCCAACTGAAACTCCATTGCACTTGTTATGCCTACCTCATGGCAGCCAATGCCTTGACATTGTCTTTCTGGCCCACCTGAAACCCAATACTGCTTTATTTTGGGGGGAAAATAAAGTTTTAATTTGACATTCTATATTAAGCTTTAATTCTGACAATACCCCAACAGCGTTACTGTAAGACTCACAGTCTCACTTCTACTCCACAGAACGTGAACAGCCGAAAAGCCTCCATGATGCTGAGTCCTATAGCCCAACGACGGCTCCAGAAGCAAGACTCAGGGCCTTACTTCCGAAAGCTGTGAACAGCCAAAAGGGCTTCCACAATGTTGGGACCTATAGCTCAGTGAGGCTCCGGGAGCTCGATGGAGGAACGAGAAACCCGGGAAGGAACACACCAGGCTAGATGGTAAATAGACCTTTATTAGCGTGGCCAGATGGCACTCTCAGAACCAAGTAGCTGACTCAGAGAGGAACCAGCTCAGGGGCTGAGGTCCTTTTTATAGGAGGGTAAAAAGGGGGGTTAACATTTTAAGCTTGCAGGCAGGGGACAAAGGTCTGCTGACTTGAGCTGGTGGTCAGCAGTCATGTACTCGGCAGTCACATATTGATGATTAACAGATACCTTTAGGATGGTTCAAAGGCCACTAAGACATTCAGGATGAGCAAACAGTTCAACAATTAACTTTGAGTCTCTATGTATCTCATAGTCTAGAACCACTAACTTACATGTTAATCGGGATCCGGACTTTAAATAGTACAAGACTGCCTTACATTCCTAAGCCAGGGTTTGAACAAAAGTCGGGGCTATGGCTACAATGGGAGGGGGTTAGAGCACTGTCTCCTGGGCCCTTTGTTATTTAGCATGGGCTTGTAATTTAGGTCCTACTGTTACAATTTTAGAAGTACTTTCCACGCTCAAATTTTAGTTTCAGTGACATTAACTCAATGTTTATACAGTGATAAGTAACTACTACAATTTATTGAATCCAAAATCAGATTAATTAGATGTTTTGATGGTTAAGGAGAGAATAAACCACTGAAAAATATTGTGGCGGGTTCTTGGATGTCACAGTATATAGCAACATTATTGGAATGTTTAAATTATTAGAAGTTAAGAATATAAAGTACTTGTCATGATTTCAACAATAAAAAAATTTTTAAAAGACCATCCTATTTGATAATAAATTAGATTTATACAAATGATAATTTCAAAATAAATAAAACCTGAGTTGAAAATGCCTCCTACCCTTATCCCACCCCAGCATACTTTATAATCCATTATCATTTAGATGAGTATGTCTTTGAAACTTAATGTGCAAGCCTATCTACCCCTGCGGGATCTTTTAAGAATGCAATTTCTGATTATTCTGAACCAATCCACTTTGCACATGCACAGCCATATTCTATGGCTCCTGATACTCTGGGGCCAATTCATAGCCAGTCATTAGCAGGTTGAGACAGAATTCTAGTTCTGCCTCTTATTTGCTGTGCAAATTCAGCAGTTTCTCTTCCTACACTGGTCTTCTTTTCCTCATCATGTCTAGCGGAGTGGAGAAAGCCAGTTTGTGGTCTGGATTTAAGAATCACCTATGCAAGTCTGTGCCTTAGCCCTCCCTCTATGCCTCCTGTAGGTTTGAGATTAAGAGCCTCAAAAGATAAGTTGGTAACTTTTCAACTCAAAGATAATTGTTTTATAGTAGCATATTTCACAATAGCTAAATTATAGAAGTGACCTATATGTGCTCATCAATGGATGAATGGATAAAGTGTGATACACACACACACACACACACACGAGTACTACTTAGCCATAAAGAAGAATAAATGTGAGTCCTTTGTAGAAAAATGGATAGATTTTGAGACCATAATGCTAAGTGAAATAAATCAGACACAAGTTAAATATTACGTGGTTTCTCTCATCTGAGAAGCCCAGAGTATAAATAATTTTAAAGGCAAACAAAAGAGAGATATAGGAGTGAGATGTGTTGGAGATAGGAAGGAGATCAGGGGAAGGGCAGGGAAGGGGAGTAGAAATGGTCAGAGTGCATGCTGGGCATGGTTGTGTACGCCAATAATCCCAGCTCTGGAGGAGGCTGATGCAGGAATATTGCCATGAATTTGAGGACAGCTTTGGGCCACATAATCTGTTCAAGACCAGCCTGAACTAGAAAGTGAGAGCTTGTCTCAAAAAATTAAAAAAATAAAAAAACCACACATGTATATGTACCGATTCCCCAAAGTGTATGTAATTATTATGTATTGCAAACACACTAATAAAAAATAAACCTAAAAATCAAAAATTTAAGGCCAGGCGTGGTAGCACACACCTGTAATCCCAGCACTTGGGAGGATGAGGCAGGAGGATCGCTGCAAATTCAAGGCCAACCTGGGCTACATAGTGAGTTCAAGGCCAGCCTGAATACATAGCAAGATCCTGTCTAAACAAAAATCAAAAAATAAATAAAATTAAAAATTTAAAAATAAAATCTAAATTTTTAAAAATTAAAAAAACATTTTAAATGTAAAAAAAAAGATTGTTGAACAACCAAGCCTCTGTGAGTCAAATGAAGTAGCAACCTGGCTTTATTGGGAGAAAGTTGAGGAGGTGGGGCTGGGCCAGATTCTTGTCTGGAGGCTCCTCAGTGGCTGCAGCCCAGGATGCTGGCTACCCTCTGGGGCTGCGGGAGGGTCTTGGCTGCACTCATTTTCTCCACATCACTGTAGCAGTACACATTGGGGCCGTGGATAAGGTACACGCTGGGACCACTGGCAGAGCACGAGGTGAGGCCAAGGGACTTTTCCACACACAGGGCCCCATCCATGTTCTCATGGGACCAAGGAAGCTCTGTCCACGTGGCTTGAGCACCCAACTTCAGGTCCAACCACCACAGCCGCCGACCTGGGCAGAGGACACCAAGCATAACATGGCTCTTGTGTCATGGAGATTCTGACTTAGCCCTTCTCTTGCCCTGGCAGGGATCTGCACCGTGGAAAGGCAGCAGAACAAGTCACTCCTTGGCCCCCAGAAACCCCTCACCTGCCATGACATAGAGATGAGAAGACCCGGGACAAGTAAAGGCTGCATCCACAGACGTCAGGCTGATCCCATGAGGGCCCCCAAGTTCCTTCTCCAGCCGCTTAGGATAACCACTTACAAGAGGATAACCTCCCTTTGTCAGGAAGACATATACCTGGGTGCCCTGGAGGACAAAGGGACAGCAATCAGTATAGAGCAGGATATACATATCCCAGTTTTCCTCCTGACACATACCTGAACCAGGTAGAGTTTATCCTCCCAGGAAAAGGCAGCATCCACCGATGAAGGGCCCTGGGGCCACTGGTGATCATTGGGCCAGCTATGAAATCCATCCCGGCTGGTGTCCAGACGCCAGTAGTGAGAGCCTGTGGGGCATCAGAGGTAGCTCTAGTGCTAGTGGTAAAAGTCCAGGCTTGTGGCAGATGCAGGGATGAGTCACGAGAGGGACAAAATGCATCCAGAGGCCAAGGAGGAGGAAGCCAGGTGAGAGGGAGAAGTATAATAAGACTTGGTCAGCAACAATGGAGACTGTGGCCCCATTGGAAGAGAAGTCGGCAGGGCTATGACAGAAGCAGCCACAGAGAATGGTGGTGGTGTTTCAAGGTAATGGGGCTTGGCAGGGGGCTCCCTATACATCTCAGAGGGCGGAGATGTGGTTACATGTAGCGAGATATAGCAGCCGGGGTCGAAAGGGAAGCGCTACAACTCACTTCCATTGTGTGACCTCACCCCAGCTGCGTGCTCCAAGCCTGTGAAGTAGCAGGAGAGGAAGGGAGCAGCCAGGCCAGCACTCCATGTTCCTTTTCTTTAGGACCCTATTTTTTTCTCCCTTTTCTATATCGAATTTATTAAGTGACTTATCTAGGCTCCCATTTATCCTTTTTTCCCTCATGCTTCAATACAGTTCTGTTTCTTTCCCGTGTTGAAATTGTTCTCATCAAGATTGTTCTCTTCCAAGTCTACAGATCAATCCTGTCTTCACCTAATCTACCTCTCAGCAGCATCTGACTACTTACTGCTTCCTTCTTTAAGTATCTTGCTTGAATCCTGGCTCCTTTGATACCAGGCTCTTCTAGAGTCTCTCTCATCAGTTTGACTATTCTCTTCAGCCTGAATCTAAAGATTCAAGAAAAGAAAAACAGAAATTCTATTCAACCCAGCTGTTCTCCTTCTAGGCATCTTCCCAAAAGATTTAAAGACATCATATTGCAGTGATGCATGCACACCCATGTTTATAGCAACACAGCTCGTAATAGCTAAACCTTGGAAGTGGCCTCTATGTCCATCAACAGATGAATGGATAAAGAAAATGTAGTATAACACCCAATGGAGTATTACTATTCCTCCATATGTCATGACATATTGAGTCATTTGTAGAAAAATAGACACCTTGAGAGCATAATATGAAATAAATCAGACACACATAGGATCTTAAGTCATATGGGTTCTCTTATACAAGAAAATCAGAATATAAATTAATTAAAGAGCAAAATAAAAGATAAAGACCAGGAAACAGGGAGACAGATCTCTTGCAGATGGGAAGTAGACTGAGAGGTGGGGAGGGAGGGAAGATACGACGTTATGTCCACGTACTGACTCTCCACAGTGAATGTAGCCATTTTGTACTGCAAACAAGTGCTCATCAAAAAAAAAAAAAGACCAGCATTCCCTAGTCTGGGCCTCTTCTCCCTCCTCCCTCCCTCCCCTGGTAATTACCTAGTCCTGGAGCTTTAAATACCATCTATAAGCAGAGGACTTCCAATTAGTTCTTTTCAGCTCTGACTGACTTCTCTTTTGTTTGTTTCGGGGTTTTTTTTGCGGGGGGGAGTTATTTTGTTTGCTTGTTTTTTTGGGACAGGTTTTCACTATGTAGCCCAGGCTGGCCTGATCTCTTTGAATTTCAGGCTCAAAATCAATTACCTATCTGACATGTTTATTTGATACCCTAGGCACCAGACCTAACTTTCCAAACTGATTTCTTCCCCCACAACACACACACACACACACACACACACACACACATGCACACGCGCACACACACACCACTTCCCCTTGTAGTTCCACATTTTAGAAAAAGAAATCACCAGTCCACAAAAGCTGAGTTACTCTTGAACATGCTGAGTTAGTCTTTCCAGTTTATCAGTAAATGCTATCTGCTCCGTCTCCAAAATATGGACCAATGGTTCCTCACCACCTCTGCTGCTATCTTCCTAGTCCAAGCTGTCCTCACCTCCACCCTGAACAGCTGCAGGAACTACTTGGTGGATCCTCTGCTTACTCAAGCACACCTTTGTGACTGACGCTCCCCATGACGGCCTTGTAAAAAATGAGTCAGGACGTAGCACAATGCCAGTCAGTCCTCTTGGCTTCCTTTTGGTTCATTGTGGTTGGGTTGCGACAGGGTCTCACTTTGTAGTACAGGGCACGTGCAGTGCTCCTCTTGCCACAGCTTCCCTCCCTCTCTCTTTCAAACCACCCACCTACTCCATGTTCCAGCTACAGCAGCCTTCCTTCATGATTCCTCCAAGTATTTCCTCTTCACTCTTTCTAAAACGCTTTCATCAGGACTTCCTGTGGCTAATTCCTCTCCGTCATTGAAATCCTAGCTCAAAACTCATGTCTTCAGAAGAGGGGCCCCTCGTTTTCCTCACATCTATCCCATTAATCAGTTTCTTTATTTCACAGCTCTTAATGCTATGTGGGTGTATTCTCTTTCCTTCTTCCTGGTTGTCCTCTCCCTTAATGCTTTATAAAGGCAGATATGTCTTCTGTGTTGATTATTGTTTCCCAGGTGCTATTTTGCCTTAAATAATGCCTGGTGCCTCCCAGGTGCTTAATAAATGTTTGCTGGGTGAACATCTATTGTGCTTGATACAAACAAAATTTGCAAACTCAGTATGTAGTGGTGACTGACCACTCATCTTCCCCTATGGCAGTAACTACTCTGCTCAGGGTCCCTATGAGGAGAATCAGAGTACGTGGCTCTTTGTGAGGAGGACATAAGTGATGATCCCCAACTCATTTGTAGCCAATAGGTCGGGCAGTAAGTACTTTAATGTGAACAGCTGAGGGAGTTAACTGTCACTTGAATCTGAGGCTCAAATATCATAGAGTAGAGAGAAGAGGGAGAAGACATGGTGGTCCATGTGCAAGCCAAAGTTGGGAGAATCGGACAGAGGGAATAAATAGCTGTAAGGCAGACAAAAGAGAAGGATTTAGAGAAGGAGAGAAGAGGTGTCCGGAGCCATGCTGAGTAGCTGGGTCATGTGGGTGTTTGTGCCAAGGCAGGGGCTCTTTTCTCAGCTGGGTATTTTTAATATAATGATGTTCTCTCCATAGCTGTGTGCCCTCTCAATAGCTATGGAATACATACAATACTTTTCATTTAGGAGCTCGGCTACATTCTCTTTATGGCCTTGAAGTTCTGTGATCTCTTCACAGCTGAGTGCTCTATTCTGTGTGGCTCCTGCGGCCCTGCTTAATCCAGTCTCCCTCTCTCTCTCTCTTCTCCCACACACACACACACACACACACACACACACACACACACACAGATGCACTTAATCTGTGTAGTCACCATAGTTGATGCTTATGTGTTCTTACTCAGCATATGCTCTTAGGTTAGTTCTGTATGGTCATTACAGGTGCACATTTCCTTCTGGCTGTATGATCTTACAGTGTGCATTCCAGCAGAGGAGAGATGCCTTCCATGTGGCTACTTTTCAATAGAACCTGGTAGTCATGACTTATGGAATTTGTCTGGGAGTTAGGAGCAAAAAAGTATCTCACCTTTCCATGTTCTCATCACTTGCCCTACTTTTGTATCTGACCATACATACACCTTAGGCTGAGGGCAATGTGGTTGTTCACTCTCTCTCGGGGATGTTAAGTGTGGTCCGTGACTCATCATTGCCTACTTGACTAACACTGGAGCATCATCCTTAGGCATCATTAGATGGTTTTTACCAATTGATTCAGCAGCTCAAGGAATGGGTGACACCACTGAACACTCAGAGGGGAACTATCTTCTAAATGTCGATGGTACCCAGCACTTACTGTCTAGTTTTTAGTAATAGGGGCATCTCTATCCCAGATGATGTTTTAGCCCAGAAGCCTGGACATAGGAAACAGTCACCTGGGAAAAGATGGATCTCCTGAAAATCAATTCAGGGGTAGCCAGAGTACTCAGAAAAACATGCAAGAGCAAAGAGATACAAGGAGGCACAGGGACACAGGGAGGTTCAGAGAGCAAGGGAGAGTCAGAGGACTCAGCGGGGCACTGGGCAAGGGAGACATGAGGAGCTTAGAGAGACACTGGAGCTTAGAGAGGTTCAGAGAAGGCTCAGACACTGGAAGCAGGCAGGTTGGCCAGTTTAGAGGCCCAGACAATGAGAAACAAGGTTGAAACAGAAGAATGAGAAAGGGCATGCTAGGAGTGAGGAGGTGGTAGGGATAAAATACATGACATAGAGATAAAAAGGGAGAAAATGTGGAGGGATGAGAGGCACAAGAGAAAGAGACAGAAGGACAGACATGGGATCCTGGGGGGAATTTCTCACCGCTGAAGGCATAGGTGGCACCGTGGTTGTCAGATACCAATGCAGACAAGACTAGTCTTGGGCTACAGCGTGATTCTTCAAGTTGACGGTGGGTGCTGTTCCCATGGCCAGTCCTGTTTCTGTGGCCTAGGGGGAGAAATGAGTGAGGAGACACAGGGAGAGGCCAGAGGTCAGTGTGGGATTCAAGGTGGTTGAAATGGCTGGGTTAATAGGATTGTGGGCCTCCTTGTGTGAAGACAATTGGAAAAGCCACAGTAGAAATGGGGCAAGAGTGTTGCAACTCAGAGTTAAGGGTTACGGGGCACATGGGTCTGGGGCTTTCTCACCTCTGCCAGGGCAGGGCATGAAGTAGTCACGGGCATCCAGAGGGTATCTGGCAGGCACCTCTCCCGTGACAGGGTTGAAGCGCAAGAACTGGTTACCCTGAAAGCAGTAGTAGCGGCCAAGCCACCGCAGGGCAGAGGTGCAGTTTCCAACAGCTGGCCAGATACGCTCCTTTGTGGTTCTTGTAGCCACGTCCCAGAACCACTTGCGGTTACCTTTGTCCAATAAATCAACATGTATTGGGTGAAGTCAGGTTATACTTTCCCTTGTGCTCTCTCCAGGCTCCAGTTGTATCTGATACGGTACAGGCCACGTGGAAAGCACAGCCCAGGGAGACAGCCAAGGAAACTGAGCATACAACAAAATTCAGCAGCAAAGTGCATAGGACTGGCTCAGAAATGGAATAAGGGAAGCTTTCTCAGACAGGATGGTAGCAAGACCGCAATCTGACATAGGAATTAAAAGGCAGTCAAGTGGGGGAGAAGAAACTTTACAAAGAGGAAAGAGCCTGGACCACGAAGAAAACTGAAAGTATCGGGGACGATGTAGAGCAGCGAGGTGAGTCTTTTAGAGCTTTCGATGATACAAGGAGCCTGCTGCTGCACGGGTGCCAGGGAGTTTCTAGAGCTTAGTATTTAAGGTAAGGGCATGATAAGAGTTAAAGCTGTAGGATCGGTTATGGGGATTGCTTATGGGGAGTCTCATATGCAAGACTATGGAACAAAAACTTGTGCTAGGCCTAGAGTCGTGGGGAATAATGAAGGACTTTTAGTAGATTTGCACCCAGTTATGTTTACCAAAATGATTTCTTCTCTTTCTCTTACTTGACCTCTACACTCTAACTGGCTTCTCTATTTTCCTTCCTCACAAAGCCACATAGTGATTCCACCACCACCATCACTGGCAATGCCACTAACCCATCAATACCGATCCACCGCGAGGCAGGTTTTGGATTCCAGCCTGGGCTGACCTTGGAAAAAGAGGACGCCTTCCTCCTGGCATTCTCCACGGTGACATTCCACAGCTGCATCCAGTGGGGATGGGATTCCGGGAAATTCATCTTGGAGCAACGCTGGGTATCCTTTCTCCTTCTTTTCAGGAGGGTACACCCAGACCTTGTCCCCCTGAATTTAAACATACCCTTTTTTAAATTGTGTATTCCCATGACAGCCATTCTTCCTTCTTACATATTTTTGATTTATTACCCTTATACAATGACCCCTGGTGGCCCCTCACACTCTGAGCCCACTGTGGGCAACAGTGCATTTCCGTTTGCACAATACAGACTCTCAGTTTGTATAAATACATTTTTTCTACTACATATACACATCTGGCAGTGTATAACCAGATACTCCTATGGCACACTTAATTATAACACTATCAGATTTGGCAGACATACACATAAATAACAACCTTGCAGTTACCCATTTATTCATTTGGTCATTTATTTATGCTGTCATTCAAGAAAGTTACTGAATGACCATTATATGCCAGGTATTGTGATCAAGTGATGACAAGACCTCATCTTTGACTTCAAAGAATTCATATACAAAAGCAGAAACAATTCCTACCATCCTAACCTTGCAACATCAAGGAGGAATGCCTAAGTCTGCCTAGAAAAGTCCTGGAAGGTGTCACGGTGGAAAGGAAGCATTTGGCCCATAAAATGAAAAATGAGCAGGAATTTTCGAGGACAAACAAGTGAGGAAAGAGTATTACCAGCAGAGGGAGCAGCACGTAGAGTCCAAACCTGAGGAAGCAGGGTATGCTCGGAAAACTTTACATAATCTCCTGTGGCTGGCACACAGTAAACACAACGGGGGAGGAGATAACCAAGGGTGGACCCAAGAGACCTGTGAGCACCCGGCTTGCAGTAACCAGGTGCATATGGTGCCTTTATTTTTATTTATTTATTTATTGTTTTAGTACCAGCGATTGAACTCGGGTCCTTGCGCTTGCTAAATCCCTGGCTCATGGCACCTTTATTGAAACAGAACACAGAAGAAAAGCTGGTTTGCAAGGAAGACACTAAATTCAGCGGGAGACACTCAGTTTGAGGTGCCTGTGGAACATCTAAATCAGGGATTTCTACCAGGAAATTGGAAAGAAATCTCTGGGGGGACAGAGAGAGAGAGAGAGAGAGAGAGAGAAAGAGAGAGAGAGAGAGAGAATATGAATCCACAGATCCAGATCTGGTGTCCACAGCATGGAGAGTCCTCAAAGGTAAGGCAATAGTTGAGATCAACCAGAAAAAGTGTGCAGAAGGGCTAGGAATGGGTCCCCAACAAACACTTGGGAACAACTAAGGATGGGACTCCTCAGAAGAGAGGGAAAAAAGGCAGGAGGGAAACAAAACTAGCTGCTAGGGCCACCCCAGCCACACGTCTTTGGCAAGTTAAAAGAAAGTGGCCCTCTGAGCAGATACAGCTTAAGCCCGAGCATGGCAGTAGTCTGTATTTCATCCTTCACTAGCTCCCGTGGTCAGGCCCGATTGTGTGGGGAATGGCCTGACCTGCCACACGAAGATGACCCGACCCACGGCTACAGAAGCCAAGGGAAGAGACTGAAGTAGGGGGGAAAACCAAGAAACAAAAATGGCTAGCAGAGTTAGGCTAGGAGAGCCAGTGAGAAGTAAAATTACATGTGAAAAATAAGGACTGGATTTTGGGCCTTCTAGGCCACATGCACATACAATCTCAACTTGCTTGCTTTTTTTTTTAATTTATTTTTTGAGACAGGGTATTGTTATGTATGGTTCAGGCTGGCCTTGAATTCACTATATAGCCCAGGGTGGCCTGAAATTTGAAGTGACTCTCCTGCCTCAGCCTCCTAGGCTGGGATTATAGGCATATGGCACCTTACCCGGACTAGCCTCAGCTTTCTTGGAAAAAGAAGGCACTGGGAAAGGAAACCTGGTATCTATTGGTGTGGTATGGGCCCTGCTATAATTTGAATGTGTCCCTCAAAGTTCCTTTGTTGGAAACTTCATCCTCAATGCAATGATGTCAGGAGGAGAGACCTAAAAAGAGGTGATTAGGTCATCAGAAATCTGCCCTTGTGAATAATGTTATTATCACACTAATGTGAAAAATGGGAGTGGGTTAGTTATTGTTCGGAGCAAGTTCAGACCCCTCTTGCTCTTGCTCTCTCTCCTGCCTTCTGCCATGCTATGATGCAGCACAACATCCCCCCACCGGTTCTCAGCACCATAATCTCAACTTTCTAGACACCTGAACTGTGAGCCAAATAAACTTCTATTCATTAAAATTGTGTAGTCTCGGGTATTCCTTCATAGCAACAGAAAATCAACCAAAGCCCTGACTTGAGGAAAGGTTCCTTGTCTGAGTCCAGCCCTTTCTGGCCCAGCCCTGACCCTGGCCCAGCAGTACCTTGATCAGGAAGACACTGTCGTGACCATGGCGGAACGCTGCGTCCACGGAGCTGGTGGAATTCTTCCACCTCTCTGAGATCACCTCCTTGGTCCATTTGTGACTCTTCCACATGAACTCCCCTGAAAACCCACATTCACTGAGGGATCCAGAACAAACCTTCGGCCTACTGAGGTTGTTATAAAGAAGCTGTCAGCAGTACCCTCAGATGATCCCCAAGCTCTCTCACAGGTGGAGACATCATCTGTGAAGGGGACCGAGGCTGAGGGCCCTAAAGGCTCCAATCCCAGCCCCTCCTACCTTTAAAAAACAGCATGGCCCCACTGTCATCCAGGGTGGTGGCGTCAAAGCTCCAGCCATCCGAGCAGTGTTCTGGGACGAGATAGGGAGGTGGCAAGATAAACAACCAGTAAGATGATAAAATGTAGATACAACCCAACAGATTGACAACCTCGAGGAGTTGGAACCTCACCGTGGATCGCGTCTTGGTCTGTCTTGGTCCCACTCTCACCTTCAGTGATGTTCCCACGCACGCTGGTCCTAGAGGTAACATAGATAGATGTCTGGGTCTGTTGGGACCAATCCACTTCTCTTAGCTCTTGACCCAAGCCTGAAAACTGGCCCTAGCTGTCCCCAAGCCCAGACCACAGTCCTCTATCACTAGTCCCAGCTTTACTCACGGAGGAAGAGGGCTGGCAGTGCCTAGAGACCAGCACAGGCCCAACCATGCAAGTACAGTTTGTGCTACCAGTGCCCTAGCCATGGCGAGCTGGAAAAGCCACAAGACAGCCCTGGGCCTGGGGTTGAACTCCTTAAATAGAGTCGGAGCAGCACCACCCCCACTTCCAACTCTGCTGGCAATGAACTGTCTCCCAGGACTCTGACATATTGGCTGATTACATCACTGCAAATAAGGTCAGGGTCTGGACAAAAGTCTGAGTCCAGGACTCCCTCTTCCTGGTAGGAGGCCCCATCCCCCTCAGCAACTTGTTAGCAATGACCAGCCCATTGCCAGCTGGACTCTCATCACTCTGGCAATGTGGCTAGAAGTCACATTCTAAGAAGTGGGTAGTCCAAGAATGGGGTAGACTGAGGATCACCTTTTCGTGGTGAGTTTACCTCTACAGTGTGTGTATGTGTGTGTGTACGGGGGGGGGCATTTTTGTGTACCAAGTGGCAAGCCCTTCTCAACCGAAGTTCTAAAACAAATAGAGACTAGTATATAGGCTTAGTAACCATACACAGAGACAAAGTTACTTAGCAATATTCAGAGAACAGCCTTTTTCAAGCTCCCATCAGAGCCTTCCTGGGTGCACCCCCCCAGCCTTTTCAGCTTTATCTCTGGATTAATGATTCAAGGGGCAATAATGGCTCACCACTTCCAAGTGGTGTCCACTGTCCAAGCCCCACCCAGCCTAAAGCCCTGCTGGCAAAAAGGGTTGCAAAAGCTTCGGGGGGGGGGCGGCTGCCAGTAAGGAGACCGGATGAGGAGGTGCCTTTTCCAAAGGGTACTAGGACCACCAGTAATTAGTCTTTCTCAGTAGTTTCCACCTTACAGGGAAAAAAATGCTTTATTTACCCATCCCAGAACAAACAGAACAGTAACTGAGGTTTCACAATATTTTCAGCTGATTTCCACTTACATGCTACCTCCTCAGTGAAGGCTTCTTTGACTACCATTCCCAGCCATTTCATGCTCTTGCTAGTGTCTTTTATGTCACTTAGCAAAACCTGAAATTATATAATCAGTCTACTTATTGGATTGCTTTTTGTTTGATTTTTGGGGTGTTTTGGGTTTTTTGTTGGTTTTTGCAACCCTGGAAATCAAATCCAGAACCTCAGGCATGCTAGGCAAGCACTGAGCTATACCCAAGCCATTTTCTTCCTTATTTATCATTATATCACTGTCTCTAAAAATAGTAGGTAACAGGATATAGTTTGCCTAGCATGTGCAATGCCCTGAGTTCAATTCCCAGCGCCACATTTTAAAAAGTATATAGTAGTTGCCCAATAAGTGAATGAAAAAATACATTCTATGGGCTGACTAGTGCTGTTAATGTTGCAGCCAAATTTTTGACAATTTTCTTTCTTCTGGGGTAAACATAATAATAGTAATGAGAATATGTTACAGTGGCAGCAGATTGAAATCTAGGGGTCACAGATTCCCTCATCACCGCCTTTTATTTGATGGTCCTGTTTCTCTCTCCAAAATGTAGTCCTTCTTGCCTCTCTTTCTGGGATCTCACCTGCCATATGTATTACCTGCTCTTCTCCATACTCTCTGGGATGACTCCCAAAGCCTGCCTCATTTCCTCTGACATTTGGCTACTAGGTCAGGAGAGAATTAAGGATAGAATCATATATGGGTCAGGCTGAGGTTCCTAGATCTCTGTTCCTACCTAAACCTGAAAACCCTCAATATAACTAAGCCAAATCTGAGATTCTTTGGGTGCCGAGATTGCACCTAAGCCGCTGAGCATGCTAATCCCATGCTTTAACACTGAGCTACACCATCAGCCCTGAGGTTCCTTGTAAAAGTTTCTCCCAACAGGAAAACGATGATTTTGGGAATCTCTGAAATATATCACCAGGTCTCCGCCACTAGACTTAATATATTCCTCTGATTTACAAATGAAAGCCTGATGTTACGTCATTCCCTGCCTAAGCCAGTGGGCACAGCTGGCTTCCCCAGGGGCAGTGATACAGCTCCTCACCCCCACCTTCTCCCACTGTTGGGCATCTCCGGCTGGACCAGATTGGGCACTGAGCACTGGGAGTTGCTACTTCTAGACTCCCCTTCAGCTTTTCTTTCCCTTCTAGCCTCTGAACCCTATATAACTTTTCTAGGATCTTCCTGCCTGAACATCCAGAGACCCTCCATCAGCAACATCCTCAACAACTAATTCATTGCCAGAGGCCACAGCCCTGTTTACATGTCCTATAGGCATTGCTATAGCCTGTCTGAGGAGACAGAAGCTTTCGCCCCAAGTCATAAACACCCTCCAGAAGAGCCAGAGTGAAAGTTTCTACAGTCCTATTACTGATGTGCTGGCCCAGGGATCACTCTCCATTTGGCTTAGCAGGGCTCGCTGAGAAGAAACTGAATATATATTTGTGTAGTTTTCTAGCTTGGATTCTCTTTCACTGTCCAGCTCTTCTCCCCTCCACAGCACTCCAGGATCCATCTCTCACCCGAGAGTGCTTAATAACCTCTTCGATTGTCAATTCCAATGTATGTGCCCCACCGATGGTGTAAATACATTATCAGAGCCTCCAAGAACCAGGCCAGCAGAATCTTCTGCAGGCTGAGAACCCAGGTTGAAAAACAGCTACTAGGCAAGAGAGGCAGAGGGCCTTATCCATTTATGAACTTGGGGCTGTAGATATGTTGGTCACTCTGGAGCTAGTCAAAGGGCACAGGGAAACTTTTCTCAGCTAGCCAAACTAAAGCTGGCCCTGCTTCTGTCCTCCTCACTGTAAGAGGCTGCCTCCGCTTCACCTCAACCCTTCCTCCTTCCAGCCTCTGGCCCAAACCAAGAAGCTTGTCCATATTGGGGCATGAGCGCCCCCTGGAGGCTGAAGGAACCAGTGCACTCCCACCCTTCAACCAGGGGACAGCCTGGTTTTTCCTCTGTGAAACAGGCTCTCCACAGACTTCCTCCCCTACTCCTCTCAGCCCCGGCTGTGTGGGCTTAGTGGTATGTCCCCTTGTATGCTTCCTGTTCCTCTGCAAACTTCTTCTTTCTAGAGCAGGAGTAGGGACTTCAACCTCTTGCTCGATTTCCCGGAGAATTCAAGCCCAGAGAAATTCAGCTCTGTCATTTTTGGTGTAGTCTTAGCATCCTCCTCACCAGCTTCTCATTTCCCCCAGAGGGAGTCTAAATGTAGGCCTGCAAACGTCTTCAGGGACAGAACTTCCCCCTGCACTGCCAGAGGCCATATTTAAGCTGGACACTGGCCCACTGCCCCTTGGGATGGCTATGTCCACCCTGCCCCACACTGTTGATCTGAGCTCTCTGACTTGTCATTTCTTCTGTGGTCCATTGGGAGCTGGGAGAACTGGGCCTGATGCCTTGGTTTATTCCAGAGCAGAGGCTGGCCTATCCCCAGGGTAGAAGGCTTAGGGACAAAGCTTCGTGCAGCTAAAAAGAGCTCATTGCTCTCAAATGACCCCTCCAACATAAGCAATTTTCTCTTGCTCTGTCTGTAATGGATCTTCTGAATTGTCCATTCGTTTCTCTATGAATAATAATTCACTTGTATCTTTTGGGCACCAGTGTCTGGCATTGTGTACATCACTTGGTACAGATTACCTCATTAAGATATCTGCGGTTTGAAATTTTTTGTCCCTTCCAAATTCATACGCTGGAAACTCGTCCCCCAGTGTGGTAGTGTTGGAAGGAGGGCCCCAATGGGAAGTATTTAGGGTTATGGCCACTGTTAATAGGGCATGGGAGAGTTAGTTCTCTCTCCTGTTCTCCCTCACTAGTTACCAAACCTACTGATTCCTTATCTTGGACATCCCATCCTCAGGCCTTTGAGAAATAAATTTATGTCCCTTATAAATTCCCCAGTCTCAGATATTTTGTTATGGCTGCAGTGCTGAGTCCTATCTTATGAGTAAGGGAATCAACATTAGGCATTTTAGCCAAATTACATGATTAGCAAGAGGTAGTGCCTTAATTTAAACTCTGTTTTCCTGACCGCTTAAGGTGACTCAACCCTACAAAAGGGTGCGTTATAAGTATTGAGCAGCTGCTCTTCAGAGGGAGAAAAGCCCTGGTTTGTAATATTTGATGACTTATACAAATACTCTTATCACCACTAATTAAGTTGCCAATGAAACGTCACCAAATACAGAGCTGGAAAGACATGTGCAGTAACGGATTACTATGTTGGGATTTCCACGTCACCACACAGAGGATGTAAAGAACCTCAGAGCACAGGTAATAGTAAAACAATCAGGAAGAGACTAGTTTTGAATAATCTCCAGCTTTAATAAAATTTATGCAGTGTAGTTTAAGTTTTAATAATGACTTTTAACAATCAGCTCTCAACCCTCTAGCCTGTGTGAACTTAACGATCAGCTCTTCTGAGCTAGTGTGAACTAGCTCCGGCCCCCACTGTCCACCACACTTCCTGGGTGCTCAGAACAAAGATATGACCTGCTTTTTTCTCTGATATCTCTTTGGTACCTAGGATAATACCCAAAATATTGTATGTATTTCATAAATGCTGAACCCTGTGATTCTTCCTAATTACACATGAAATCCATCTTTGCCTTCTTGCTACTACAAACACCCATTTCTTTTTCTCATGCCATTATGTTCCCCTACACCCTCTCCAGTTTCCCCTTATTCCCTTCCTCTTATCTAAAAATAGTTTCCCTCCTACATTCACGTCATCTTTTTTAAGATTCTACACATTTGATTCTTGTCTTTCTGAGTCTGGCTTATTTTACTTAACATGATGATCTTCAGTTCCATCCACTTTCCTGCAAATGACCCAATTTTGCTCTTTACAGCTGGACAATACGCCGTAACACACATGTACCACCTTTTATTCATTTGCTGGTAAGCATCTGTGCTGGTTCCATAATTTGGCTGTTGTGATTATGCAAGTATCTCCACAGTAAGCTGACTTTAATTCTTCAGGTATATACCAAGGATCGGACACCTGGATCAAATGGTAGCTCTGTTTAGTTTTTTTGAGGAACCTCCACACTGCTTTCCACAGTAGCCACAGTAATTTACATTCCCATCAGCAGTGTAGAAGAGTTTCTTTTACCCCATATCCTCACCGACATTGTTTTTCTATCCTTGATGAAAGACATTCTGTCGGGTGAGATTGAATCTCAATGTAGTTTTTAATTTTCATTTTCATTAGTCTATGTTTGCAGTATTAACAACTGCATTTACCAGAGGAAGCTGGTACATCTCAATTCTTGTTACGCCCCCTTCCCCTCTCCTTCCTTCCTCCATCCCTTAGAGGTCTCCTCATTTGCAAAAGATCTCCCTGATTCCTCATACCTACCTTTTATTCTGTTCTTTAATATTTTCAGTTTCTTATATGAGAGAAACTGCAATATTTAAGCTTCTGTATTTGATTTATTTTGTTCACCATTATGGTCTCAAGGTTCATCTATTTTCCTACAAATGACTCAGATTTATCCTTCTTTATAGCAGAGTAGTACTCTGTTATAAATATCACATTTTCTTTATCCTACTCCATTATTTATAAATATCACATTTTCTTTATCCAGTCTTCTGTTGATGGGCTTATCAGCTACTTCCAAGATTCAATATAATTTTGATTCACATTTTTGATGGTTTAAGATGTTGGACATTTTTCATATACTTTCTGGCTATTTTTAATTCTTCTTTGAAGTATGTGTTCAATTCATCTGCTTATTTATTGATTGGGCTACTTGATTATTTTTTTGGCAGACACCATCTTTTGTCTGCCCAAACAGCCTTCCTGCTTCTCCTGCCCCCTTCATAAACAATGATCTCCCCGCCAAAATCTGAGATCATCTTCTGTTCCTGCTTAAAACTTTTTCCTCGAAGATAAAAATCAAGTGTAATTCTATTACACAGAGGACACTACTGTTATCCTTTTATTATCTATTCCAGCCTTTTTCTACTCTGAAAACATCCTACTTAAAGCAATGATTCATAAAATCTTTTGTAACAGTATCCCAGATATCAACATTTTAAAATATACATATAGCTCCACTGTGTTTTAGCAAAATTTTTATGTAACTATTTCCTGCTGATTGGACATTTAGGTTTTTCTAGGATGCTTTTTCTAAAAGTTGTGGCTGGGTGTGGTGGTGCACACCTCTAATCCCAGCACTCAGTGAGCTGAGGCAGAAAGATCACTGCAAATTTGAGACCAGCCTGGGCTACACAGCAAATTCAAGGTCAGTCTGAACTACTTTGCAAGACCCTGTCTAAAAAAAAAGCAAGCGAGAAAGCAAGCAAGCAAACTAGCTAGCTTGCTCTGAAAAACACTGGTTCACATACTTCTTTGTGCATGTGCCCAGTTATTTTCTTGGAATACATTCTTAGAAATGGAAGACTACAGATGATTTTCAAGTATCCAGTCTTTAAGATGAACAGTTTAGAGATGTTGAATTGCTCTCCGCTTTTTGTTATTTGCCTTCTTACTCCACAGAATCATTGTCCAGCTGCCAATTTGTTTCACTGGGCATCCTACTCATCCTATTGCTTGAACTTTTCACTGGTTTACTGGTTATGCTCCAAATGCTTTGCTCAAGTTAAGTGATCCAACAGAGGTCTGTCTGCACTGGTTCCATTCCTCTCTCCAGGCACCCTCCTTCCTTTCAGATCCTCAAACACAGCAAGAACTCTATTCTTAGGAACTTTGTACCTCCCCTGTCTTTGGAAATCTCTGCCTCCTTTACTTAACACCCTCTGCAAACTTGCAGGTCACTGACTAAAGAGGCTTTCCTTGTCCACCCTATTTAACACCATGTTCTCCAACAATGTATTCTATTCTTTGCCTTCACAGCTTGAATTCAAGCTGTCATTACATGTTTAATTCTCTGTTGCTTTCCTTGTGGTACTGGCAATCGAACTCCGGCCCTTGCGCTTGCGAGGCAGGTGACGGAACCACCAAGTCAAATCCCCAGCCCTTCTTTGTTGCTTTTGTATCTTCCTTTACCACTAACTATAAGCTCCACAAGGGCAAAGACCATTTCTATCTCTATTCTCACGGCCCATCGTTCTGTATGCTCAACAGTACTAAGCAGTAAGTGCTCGGTAAATACCAGCGTATGAACAAAGGACCTGCAGGTCACATATGACCGTAGAGCTGACCACCAGTCAGCCCTGTATGGGCAAGGTTCCCATAACTTTCTCACCTGCCTCAGCAGAAGCTTCCCAGTGGCTCCCAAGTCTGTGGAGTTCATTTAGGACACATACCAAGTTAAGGTGTGGCTTAACTGCCAGGCAGTGGAAGTGAGCCTAAGATGTGATCCAAACTGGACAGAAAATGCCCAGTGCAGATACATCTAGAAGGAATTGAGTGACCTCACTTTGAGACACCTTTTGCCTAGCTTAGTAAGCCGATCTAATCTGGTATCTGCAAAAACCAGCCCTAGTAGCCTATTCTCGGCCTGGCCGGGGAGCCACTTAGGGTTACTCTTATTGGCACTTTATTCCCCTGCCACATTTTGCTTTTCACAATGTATGTGAGAGGTTGAGGGCTGACAACTTTGAGCTTCCATTCTGCATTGCTTCTGTGTTCAAACTGGGGGTGCAGAGGACGAGATCATCACTTGAGAGCTTTCAGGGACGATCCACTGGTACTTAATGATTGGCAATAGAGCACGCTTCCTCTTCTGGCCAGGACAGGGACTCAGGCAATTCTGCTCATAAATGTAGCCAGAATAGGCCCTAAAGCACCTTCCCTAGAACCTTCAGGGAATCCATCTGTCTCCCCATTTGGCTGCCAGGTATAAATAAGAGGGGAAGAGAGAGCTAAGTATAACCAATGCCACCTTATGGTCCAAGTGTCTCCTAACCTCCACAAAGCCCCCATGGTCTTCCACAGGTCCGTGGGTAGCCCCTCCTATCCTGGGCCCAGGACTTATGCTACATTGGACAGGGTCTCAATCACTTCCATGATGTCTCATGACCAGCCTTCCCAGATCCATTACTCCCCAGATGTTCCTGAGTGCCTTCTCTGCCAGCTCAAGGGTCATAAGGATGAATAGGATGCTACCACTTACCAGTTAGGGGCACGACAGCTACAGATTAAGTCTGGGCTCTGTTCTTCATCAGCAATATGACCTGTCTTTGTGAGCTTGTCTTTTGTAGAAAGGAAGAAATCAGAGTCCCTACCTCCCTAGTCACTGAATGCTAGTTTTAATTATCTCTGAACTGGCATACAAACTAAGACAGACTACAGCTCAGGAGCGGGTGTAAGGATCCTCATTCCACTGCGGGGAACAGAGAGCAAGGGGATGGGTCAGAACTCTAGGGCCTTAGAACTGAGCTTTAAAGTTGGCCACTGGGTCTCCCACCATTTTCCACCTGGTTAGCCTCAAGTCTTAAGCCCAGGGTTGAGCTTCAAAGATTGCTTTCATTTCCTGGAATGGTTCTCTCTGCTGCTGTTGGCTTTATTCCAGACATCCCTTGCTCCTGCTCAGCCCCAGGGTAGAGGTTAAAGACTTGCCTATCCCTATGAGAGGCAGAAATACAAGACCTGGGCAAGAGGGTTTTGCAGGCTGGTGATGGTGCCAGGGGCTCACCCTCTTCTTGCTCTTCTTTTCTGAAGTCTCACAACACCAGGACTTGTTGGTGAAGCTGGGTTCCCTGTGTGCCTCCTCACCCATCTTTCAGTGTGGAGCTAGTCCCAGGGATTCCCTCATAGCCCCACCCTCCAAGAACCTAGCCAAAAACATCTTGGCGAAGACATTTATTTAATACGGGGGATGGGGTATTGCTGTCTCTGTCAGTGTGAATGGGGTGGCAGGGAGACAACCAGAGGGACGTCTATCCTGGAGTAAGAGGCTGTTCTGGCCCCCGGCTAGGGGAGCAGACTGAGGGAGGAGGGGAAGGTGAAGCTCTGCACACATCCTTAGGACCGCAGTCCAGGCTCACTCAGTCACCAAAGCAAGAACCGAATAAATAAAGTGCAACCGTGGGATAGGGGAGGAAAGGGAGGGCACCGGGCGCACCCACGCCCACGGCCCACATTCAGTGCTGCCAGGTCTGGCCCACCTCCCAGCCAGACCCTCTTGTCCAATCACCCCTGTGTCCATCCCTCCATGAGCCAGGCGGCCCCTGTGCAGCTACTGGAGGTAGCGATAGGCCTTAAAGCAGTGGTTGCCAGCATCAGCCACCACCACGTGGCCATCGGAGGTCAGTGCCAAGCCCTGTGGGCCATACAGTGGCTCTGCAGATGTGTTGATATAGGACAGGAAGGAGCCAGAGCTGTCAAATACCTGGGGAAGGAGTGGAGAATGGAGGAAGAGGTGAGGTCAGACAGGCTGCGGGGCAGGGGTACAGCAAAAACCTCACTATCAGCCATCCCTGGGACCTGCTCACCTGGATGCGGCTGTTGCCCCAGTCGGCCACGATGATGTTCCCATTGGAGTCCACGGCGACTCCTGTAGGGGCGTTGAACTGCCCGTTGCCCTCTCCATGGGAGCCAAACTTGAAGAGGAATTCCCCGTCGGCACTGTACACCTGGTGGGGGAAGGGGCTAGGGACTGGGCACCCGGCCTCAGGGAAAGAACAAACCCTTGGAGGAGGACGGGGGAAGGTCCAGAAGCAAGGACTTCTGGACCGCAGCTGTCACCCAGATCTTCCCAGGCTTCATATCCAAGTACCCTGCTGCCTCTTGGACATCTTAAGTGAGGTGCAGTAGGCACAGCAAATCTAACAGCACATCTTCCCAGGGAAAGCAGCTGTTCCAAATTCTCTATCTCAATAACTACCAGCACCCAAAGGAATCCAACCGTCACCGTCCTGGTCTAAGCGGAGACCACTTTAAATCCTTCCCCACCACTGTGCTTTTACAGCTACTGCAGATGCATCATCATGGGTCGATAAGGCCCACTAAGCCCCGCCTCAGCACAGCTACACCCTCTAGCCAACCACTGTTCAGTCCTGCCCTTGACAACAACACGCACCTCCCGGAATGTCCTGAAGCCGGGTCCGGTGGATAGCCACAACTCCTTCGTACTGGACTCTCCCCCTCCAAAGTCCCATTGTGACTTCCTTTCACAGCCCCTTTCTTATGCTCATGACCCTATGAAGACCACACAGCCTATTCGAGAGTCGCTGGTCTGCTCTCTAGTGCCAGAGGGGTCCCTCTCTGCTTTATTCTGAAGTGGAACCGTCATGTTGAGCTCACAGGCCTGCTTCTTTTCCTTTCTGTCCTAATACTACCCAGCTACCACGAAACATTCTTCATTCTACCACCTTCCCCGCTTGACAGCCAACCAATTAATGTAAATGTTGATTCTTCCTCAAATCCCTCTCTGAAATGTGTGTGCTTGGTAGACACTGCTACTATTGCCACAGCTTTATCATGGCCCAGGTTTTCATTTTGTTGTTGTTGTTGTTATTGACACAGGTTCTATGATGTAGCCCAGGCTGGCCTCGAACTCACAGTAGTCCTCCTGCCTCAGCCTCCCAAGTGCTAGGATTAGATGTACCACTGCACGCAGCTTCATCATATCTCATTTAAGACCCTGCAAAAGACTGATTTTCCTGCCTCTAGTCTTACCTGAGCCACAGTGACCTTTCTAGAATACATAGGATTACATCACTCCTCCCAGCCTGCAATCCTTCAAGGATTCCCAGAGCTCCTGGGAAGAAAGCGAGCCCCTCAGCATGGCATACAAGCCTCATCCTCACCTTGCACCAACCCCTGAAGCCCATTCTGAATTATCGTTTGGTTTGCTGGGGGGAGGTTGCTGGGGGTTGAAGCCAGGGTTGGCCCATGTTTGCTGGGCTTGAACTTGAGATCCTCCTGCTCAACTCCCAGAGTGCTGGGATTACAGGCATATGGCACCGGACGGCTACATTTAGTTTCTAGAACATGCCACAAGGGTGCCCACCTCCTACCCCCGGATCCTCCCTGTCCTCTGCTTCAAACTCTCCTCCTCATTTACCTCTGGTTAATTCCCATTTATGCTTCATGTCTTCCCCTGAATCAAACCTGCTCTGTCCTCCCACAGTTCCTGGCACCTCCCCATCAGAGAATCTATCTCACATCGTGTTGTAAAATCCTGGCTATTTTCTTCTCTTCCCTACTAGACTATGACCAAGATGAGAGGGAATGCGTCTGCTTTGTTCATCAGTGTATTCCCGCTTCTAGCATTGTGCCTGGGGCAAAGCAGCCATGCCATAAATGTTTATTTGTCCAAGCAATGATTTCGAGAAAGGAGACTTATGGAAGAGGAAAGGATGTTGGGACAGTAGCCATGGGGGTAGGGAAGGCACTGACCTTCACTGAATGATTATGGAAATCCGTTACAACAATCTCATTCTTGTTGTTCACAGCCACGAAATGGGGCCCTGAAAATAGAAAGTGGTCTTTGGGGCATTAGGTGGAGGTACTGAGTGAGTCAGGGAAGAGTAACCAGGATGATAAAGCCAGGGCGTTAGGACAGGCCTGGGGTCTCCGGAGCTGAGATAAACGGCCTCTGGGATGATGAAATAGGGGTATGGAAAAGGAAGGTCTCCAGGGCCAAAAGATACAGACGGGGTTTTGAGAACTGGGGCATCCAAGGGGGAGTTCTCTGGGGCTGGGGTATCAGAAATGATCTTGGATTTGTCCTCCCATACCTGCAAAGTGGCGATCAGTAGCCCCACGGCCCCCAAAACGTCCAACCAGCTTGCCATTGGGCTGGAAGGTGAAGACGCAGCAGGATTTGTTGTCGACCACGATGATATGTCCGTTCCGGTCCACAGCCACTCCTTTGGGCCCCATGAGGCGGCCAGCTCCAATCTTGGTCTGGAGGAAGGGGATACCAGAAGGGACTTTATCCTGACCGGTAGGGAGAACAAGCCCGGCCTGACATCAGAGCATAATGTTGGGCTGGGGAAAAACTACTGAGCAGGACAAGGCAGGATTGGGTCACTTCGGGCACTGAGCGGCCACCAGGAGGCGCTAGCATGGTCAACTGAGCTGCTTGCCTGGGTACAGACTGCAGCAACAGCAGCCTCTCACCTTGAACTTGCCCTCAGGGGAGAAGATGCTGACCCAACGGTTGTCATAGTCGGCCACGATAATGTCTCCATTGGTGTCCACTGCTACACCTGTAGGGCGCTGCAGCTGCCCGGGTGAGCGTCCTCGGACCCCAAAACGGAACTTGAACTGGCCCTCATTGGAGAACACCTGGAGCAGAGGAGCAAGGGAGGGAGCAGGGGGAGGGAAAATAGTATGGGCACCAGGGGGAAGGGAACAAGACCCTGAGGGAAGAGAACCCACCCAATTATTCACTCTTTCAACCAGCACTCACTGGTACTGTGCCAGAGGCACAGAGGAATCACGAGTGGCAGCAGTCCTTGGGGAACATGCAACAGAGACGTGAAGGAGACTGTGAGCAGGTGAAGGGGTCCGAGGGGATGGTGAGGAAAAACTCCAAGAAACAGGGATATCTGAACTGACAGCTGAATCAGGATGCCCACTGATGAACCAAAGTCAGCCCACAGAGGAGGAAACAGAGTGCAGTTTGCAAAAGGCACAAAATTGAGGTCGGACACTGCTCCAGGACCTGCCTGTCCTGTGTGCCTGGATCACAGGGAGTACCCCAGTGACCAACAGGAGCTCGGTTTTATCCTGGGTGTAACAAGGAGTCACTGAAAACTTCTGGGCAGAGCAGGGCAAGATCAGCTTAGCTTTCCTGAAAGGACACTTTGGCTGCAGGGAGGAGTTAAAACTGGAAGCTAACCAAGCCATCAGAGGCTGCTGAAGGAAGGCGTTCAGGTGAGATATGCTGACAGCTTGTACCAGGGCAACAGGCTGGAGGGAAGTAGATGGAGTCAAGAGATACACAGAAGACTCAAGAGGACTCTGAAGCAGACTGAAAAGAGTTAGGTGAAAAAGGAGAATACATACGGATCTGCCCACTCAGGCTATGAGCTGACAAGCTAATCTTCCACCTGGATAGGATGAACCTTTCAACCTCTCCGCTTCTCCTGCCTTCTCCACCTTAGCTAGCCAACATGCTCAGGTTTCTTCATCCTAAAAGCACCTTTAATCCTTCTTCCCTCATAAATTAAGACTTCTGGCTTCTTTGCAGCCAAAATATTACTCACTGCATAATTCTCCTATACTCAGCTTTATTACGAGCTCTAGGAACACAAGATAAATCAAAGCCAGGAGCCACCCTGGAAAACACAGCTTTGGCCTTGGCTTTGCCTCTTGATCCAGACCTGCTCCCTCCTTGGTGGCTGAGCCCCCTGTCCCAGCCTCACCACATCTTAAGCCTCTGCAGCTGTTTAAACTGGCTGCACCAGCAGACATCAATTCCTCCTCACAGTGACCTTCCAGCAAGCCCCCACCTGGACAGCCAGCACCGCAGGGCTCCACACCAGTCCTGTGTCAGAACAGCACTTAGCAGCAGGAGTACTGAGGTACCATGGGCTAAAGACAAGGTTGAGTCAGAATAAAAGGAACTACCAGATCAGCAATGAGGCAACACATCTGTGTCCTCCAGACTGAGCAGCTCAGTTTCAGGCTCAACACTGATGAGGCCCTGGGAGGTCTTGTTCATCCCATCCTATCTCTTACCACCCTTACACCTGGCCAGCTCCTACTCGTTTTTATTCTTTCGTTTTTCGAGACAAGATTTCCCTATATAGCCCAAGATGTCTTCAAATTCTAAATCCTCCTGCCTTAGCTTCCTAAGCGCTGCGATTACAGGTGTATGCCACCATGCCTGGCATCATCTTTATATTCTCGGAATTTCCAGGTCATTTCTTCAGAAAATCTTTTTTGTTTTGTTTTGTTTTGTTTTTTGAGACAGGGTCTCACTATGTGGTTAAGACTGACCTGGAACTCACTATGTAGCCCAGGCTGGTCTCGAACTCACAGCGATCCTCCTGCCTCAGCCTCCTGAGTGCTGGGATTACAGGCGTGTGCCACCACACACAGCTGTCTTCAGAAAATCTTTAATGATCAATCTACTCTTAAAACACTATACAGTTAGGTCCTCATGATATATGTTTTATACCTCTGTTCATAAGAGCTGTCACTTTGTGACAAAATAATTTAATTACCTGTATCTCTTCTATGAATGCAAGCCCTGCATGGAGTAGCAACTGCATCTGTCTTGTTTGCTTTTGTATTTCCAACACTGGTACAGCTTCTATAGTAGATATTCAACAAACAGTAGATGTCCAACAAACAGGAATTCCCTAGCTCAGTCCTGGAACTGAAATGGACCCTTCTTCCTTGAATGCACTACAGCTTTCTTAAACTAAACGTGTCAAAGTGAGCTCATCAACTTAGACCTAGACCTCCTGCATGGCAACACCACTGCCCCAGCCCTCTAAGTCCTGCCATTCTTGATCCCTCTCTCACAGCACCTGAGAGCTCATCAAAATCTGCCACATTTGCTTCCTTAGTATTTCTACAATCCACTGGTGTTAAGTGTGGTTAACATATCTCTCCTACACCACGGTAGTAGTGAGTGCATCCTTGATTTCAGAGATTTTGGTGGGGAGAGAAACTACGACGAAACACCAAACTAGACAGGCACAAAAAATAAGACTCAAAAAAGCAATCATTTCAGTAAAGTATGAACTGCTACAGCAAAAACCCGAGGGAAATCAGAAAAGAACAGGATTAATGTTCTACCTGAAAATAAGGAGGACATTTTCATGTAAGAGCTGATAAAATTTTCAGACTAAGTCAGTGGCAAATAGAAATAATATATACAAATAAAACTCTTCATTCAAAACTACAATGTGTTTTGTGCTCTATTAGTGTAGTTCCTTTCAGTGAGAGACTTTGCCTCACCCTCCACAACAGAAGCATCTAAAGGAAGAAAAGCATCCAAGGACCTCAGTCCTTATGAACAAAAGCAGGAGGGGCTCATCACCCACTGGGAGCCCAGCCCACACCAGCCCTGAGGACCTCAGAGTTACAGAAGCAAATACTTGGCTTTGGAATCTAAGAGCCAGGCTCCTAGCAGTTAGGACATTTGGGTGGAGTGGGAGTAGAAGCAAGAAGTGCTATAGGAAGAGCAGGTGTTTGGAAGACAGACAGGGCTATGCCAGGCCTTCCCACTCTAAAACAAAGAAAGCCTCTCGCTAGGATCTGTTGGTCTTTCTCTCTGTCTCTCTCTTTCTCCTTCCCTCCCTCCCCTCTCCTATCCCCTCTCCCTTCTCTCCTTTCTCTCTCCTCTTTCTATAAAATGCTAGGAATTGAACCCAGGGCCTTCACACCGAGCTACGTCCCCATCCCTTTTTAAAACAAAACAAATTATTTTGAGACAGGGTCTCACTAAGTCTCTAAGTTACCCAAGCTGAGCCTGAACTTGTGATCCTTCTGCCTCAGCCTTCCAGAATGCTGGGGTTACAGGTATGCACCACTGTGCTTGGCCGACGGCACACGTATTTCTGTACATATGAACATCCAAGTGAGCGTGCCACAGGAAAGGTGTCATGCATCTCAGCTTCTGTGCCAGGAAGCATCCCGGCAAGAGGTGAAGGGGAGGCGTGGATAACGCAGGTTACATGAGTACAGTCCGGCACCATCCCTGCGCCACCATTCAGGCTGGCCCCAATGCCTCCCTGTGCTGCACTGCCCTCTCCCCTCCTCTACCCTTAGCTACAGGGCAGGAATAGGGGTCTGGGAAGGACTGGAAATCTGGCCACAGAAGAGCCCCTGGCACCTTTAACCTGCTATGTCGAAGTCAGGGGTCAGGAAAGAGCTAGCACTGAGGCGAAAGACCTTAACAGAGCTGGATCCAGGGTAAGGCCAGGCAGGGTCAGGAAGTTTAAATGCACAGGTTTGTCCAGAAAATGATCTTCAGCAGAATGTTTTACTACCCAATAAATGTTTCCAAGAACTAAAGTGTATGGTAGTTAGAAACAATCCTCTGCAGTACAAAAATCGAAGCCATTTACAATCTGACCACACCCAGTTCCCAACAGTAAGCTACCTGCCACCCTGGGATCTTTCTGGGTTCCTGAAAAACCCTGCCTAACACTTTCCCACCTCCTTGTTTTGTTTACAGCCTCTGCCTGGACAATGATGTTTTTAACAACTACTATCATCAGAAAGTTCAGTACGTATCAGGTATAGTGCACTGCATCACTTACTACTCCCAGCAACCCTGAGGTATGCTCTTCCTAATTTTACACATGAGTTAACTACAACTCAAAGAGATCACACGACTTGCTAGTACATGGCAGAGCCAGGATGCAAGACCAGGTGTCTGGTTTCAGAGCCTCAGCTTTTAACTGCTACACTGTCGACAACACTAATGCCCACTGCACTGGGCTCTGGGCTTACTCCAAGGAATAGAGAAAAATCCATGTTTCCAGACTTTAAAAAAAGGAACTGTGCCTGCTGGGGATATAGTTTGCTCTAGCATACGAGGTCCTGGGTTTAATCCCCAGTACTGCCAGAATAAATACATACATTGTGTACATGTATGCCAAGTACCATGATACATGCTTGTAAAACCAGCTACATGGCAGCCTGAGGCAGAAGGGTCATAAATTAGAGTTCAGACTGGGCAACTCAGTAAAATGTTTTAAAAATTTAAAAGCCTGTGGATGTAGCTTAGTGATAGAGGCCCTAGGTTTGATGCCATTACCACAAAAAAAGAATTAAAAAAAAAGGTTCATAGTGCCGCAGAGACCATGTCTATTCTGTGTGGCAGATGCCTTAAGCAGCTGTGCGAGGTTCTCAGAGAGGCAGGGACAGGACCACAAGTTACACTACACCTTTTGGCTATTGAAAACCATCAAGTTACCCCTATCTAACTGTCTGTCTAACCAAACAGATGATTGTGGCAATTCTACACAGGTCACATATACTCTGGAGCCCGGCTGGTATATTAGCAGATAGCAGGGGACAGCAAATCTGCACCCTGACCACTAGGGGACAGAGGGAGAGAGCAAGCCAGCCAGCAAGAGGCTCAAGGCAGGCAGAGGAGAAGCAAGAGTGAAAGTAGAACCCTGGGGTCAAGCACTGATGGGCCTATGCCATGGCACGGGAGGTGGAGGCTCTCAGCACAGGAACTCCTAGCTACTGACTGAAGGTCCTGGGCACTGCATGGCCTGTGGGGGATCTTTAAGGACTGGTACTATCTGTACAGTTTCATCTTCAGGTTCCACTTTTGGTGGTGGGAGAGTCCAATAAAGGTGCTTACCTGGATACACTGGTTGTTGCTGTCTGCTACCACTATACGGCCACTGCTGGCTGCAGATACACCTTGCAAATTGGTAAATTCACCCTTCTCCCTTCCTCGACTGCCTGTGGGGAAAGAGGGGAGGGAAAAGCAAAGAACTCACCCAGGCCGAATGAAACCTCCCAACCTTTTCGACCCGCCCACATCTGGCTCTGCCCGGCCATCTGTACCAACACGGAAGACGAGCTCGTCCTCAATCGGGTTGTCCTTCCTTTTGCCACCTGTGCTGTACATGGAGCTGGGCCTACGCACCGCCTTCTGGCGCACGTGGCTGCCTGGACCGCCTGGGGACTTGACCCGGCGCTTCACGTCGTCTGGGGAAGGTGGCAGGTCCCCAGGACGCAGGGCCCGGACCCGGAAGGGGCTGCCGCGCACCGGCTGTCCATAGAGGAGCACGGAGAGGAGCAGCTCGCCCTCAGCGCGCGCCGTGTACACCAGTTCGTACGTGCCGTTCTTGTGGTCCACCACTGGCACCGGAAGGCGCGTGCCGTCCGGGCCTGTGAGATCTGCGCGCAGCTCG